GTGAAGAAGAAACACCCAGTGCATCATGGGAATCCCCCAGCAGCCTACGCCTAATGCTGGACACACACTGTGTGATTTTTTGGCCCATTTTGAGCCGATTTTTCAGTCGTGCGACCGTTTTGGGGATCGACCAGAGTTTGGCCTTAATCGTGTGTCATACATCGTATACGTGGGGTAACGAGAAGTGATTAACACCTCACGACCAGCTCCCGATCATCAGTCGTTTGGTCGTAAGAAAATCAAACCTGTATGAAATCCTGTCGGCCGTCGTGAGGGTGTCAACGCAGCGTCTCACACTGCGCACGCGCAAACACAGAGATGAAAGCGAAAAGACAGAACAGCACGGCAGTGCAGCGTGTCATCCGGACACAAGCGATGGAGGCACAAATTGTAGAACTGCCAAGCTCATCCGAGCCTTTTCGATGTGGCCTCACAAAATTATCGCGACCACAACAACCGTGAAAATAGTGTAAACTTTTGTGTTATAACCTTCATGCTATGGACACACAGTGTGAGCACTCAGGTTGCACAGAGCAGCGAGCCGTATAGTATGAGACCCTGCATCGTGACCTATGAACTTCTAACCCCTACGAGTCAATCAGACAGTTTGAACAGGATCTGAATAACACGACTGAAAAAATTGCACAGTGTATGCCCAGCTTATTGCAGCAAAACCAAGGGAGGATTCAGGGTCACCTGAGTAGGCCATCAGCCTACTAAAAGGATACAGAAAAATCCCGTTGAAATAGTGTTAGTTGTCATCACTGGTGCTGGTGGACTCATTTGAACACCTCCGAAATTTGCAAACGCGCAAGTATTCCTCTTCTTCCTCCAAATCCTCTCGGGACCTTTTCCTCGAGCCTCCAGTTTCATGGTTGTCAGGCTCTTCATGGGCATCTTCAAAAAGTTCATCATTACTGCTCTCAGAGTGATCATACACAATTGAGCTGGTCCCCGAATCAGAGTTTGCGAGCCTGGATTTTTTGCTATTAGGCTTTTCTTCATCTCCATCTTCCTTTCTGGACCTTTTCGTGGATCCAACAGGCAGCGGTACCTCATCAGCAATATTACCAAGATGAGGACAGCCCTCGCTATCAGTGTCACAGGCAGAGATAGAGTCAGAGTCATCATCAGAAAACTCCTTGCTCCATCTGATTCTTTTGTTTGGTTCCACATCTTCCACATCCATCTCTCTAGACCTCTTCCTGGATACACCTGGCTGAGGATCCTCTTCTGGGATGTACGGGTGAACATCCTCACAGTCTTCGAATGCCTCATCAGAATCGTCATTTTCAATGCCGACAACAACAACAGCATTGTGATCATCATGCAGTTCATTGTTGTCAACATTGGCATTATTGTCTCTCACATTAATATTGTGATTGTTTACATTGTTGACATTGCCGTCATTGACATTGTGAAAGTCAATATATAAGACATCATATCGATCCTCTAATTCATCTAGTAGCTCAGTCAGCCTCCAAAAAAAGATATCATAGAGAGTAACATAAAGTCTTTCCAGTAAACCCCAGATTCCACCAACAGGTTCGTAAGCTGGCTCCTGATCTCCTCTTGGAAACATTTCTGGGTTAACCTGTCGGCCTGCAAGATCATTTTATCTTTTAATTAGCATTCATAAACATGTGCTGAAAATCAGTTTTTCATCAATTTTACGACTGAGTACATGTGCTTACCATTACGGTTATTTTGTGATCCATCTCCGCTTCCATTCATTTTGACTACAAGGAACAGAAAACAACAATGATCACTAAACAACTCAGAATGTTCAGCGAATTTGCTTTTTTTGTGATAACTTTAGGCTACGTCCACACGTACACGGGCACTTTTGTAAACGGAAATTTTCCTTTTTCGTTTAAAAAAAACCCCGTCCACATGTGCAGTTTTGAAAAAATATCTCCTTCCACATGTAAACCCTAAAAACAAAGTCAGGAATATGCCAAATCCTAACCGTGTAGAAATGTTGGCCAATCAGAAGTCTAGAAGCCTGGGAGGAAAACCTCACAAAACCTTACATACTTCTGAAAGGTTTTTGTCTTTTTCTGGAAAGGCAGCTAATGTTGTGTTACTTTCAAGTGCCTTCATCATTTCAAATGTTAATAACTAAAGACAGCATTTTAGCTGGTATAGACTCACAACTTTGGAATGGACAAAATGCATATAGCATACATGAATGTAAATTTTTTAAATTACATTTATTGCAAACCGACGTCAGGATTTGTGTTGTGAGAGCATCTGTGTTGAATGATGCTCACTCTGATGCCTCTGTCTTTCTAAATGGAGGGACAGTAACTGTGTGTGTTCATGTAAGCATGTAAAAACTGCAGATACTAAGATTAACAGCAGAGCTTCTGTCACTCTAAGATATGATTAAGAACATTTTCTAATTTATGTATAATTTGTCAAATATTACAACAGCTGACAAATAGTTAAGTCTTCATTTGTTTTCCTGAATAATAGATCCCCATCATCCTCTCTATGATGTAAAATATAGTCTAGACTTGCACAATGTAAAGTACATAAATACTGTCCTGGCAGGCAGGAAAATCAGGCTTTATATTTAAGTAAATGATCTTAAGTCTATAAAATGAAATTTGAGCTTACTTTAGTTCTTGGTAAATGACAGAGCAGTTAATCCTCAGGGAAATGTAGAAATTTCACTAAATAGTCGTCTTCCTTCATACGGTTGCTCTTCAGTTTTGTTTTCATATACTGATGTTTTCATTCAAGCATCATAGACTGCAGAATGTACATAGATTCCTTTTACATCAAGTTGTATGCACAGATTTTAATATCTTTTATATGGAGACAAAAAATACTTAAGACAGAAGTGAATCTTAAAAACTAAAGCAGTCAATGTGTGTTTTTTTATTCTAATAGTTACTGTAAAGTTCTACTCTAAGAGATTCATCTGGGCCTTTATGCAGGATTAAAGCTCAATAATGAGGACACACACAAAATATAATACATTTCTTTATGATTGTTAGGCAAAAACAAAGAGAACCCAAAGCTATCAAAACATATATCCACAGTCTTATTCTTGCTCTGCTCCCTAATTTTCCCCTGGAGGCATCACTATGGCAACAAAACAACATGCATTAAATGACGTTCCAAACAACAACAACCAAACTGTTTTCAGTGCTTAATATTTAACATGTCTTCATTATAAACTGTATTTGTGCAAATCAGTGATGTTGATGTGCACAAGCTGGGATTCAGACTTCGGAGGGTTAATCCAAAAATTAGGTTTTATGGCAGCTTTGATGGATGAATTGATGGATGGACGGTGCATAGCAGTCAGTTTTACAAATGTAACAAAGGAAAATACGACATTTAAAATGACAACAAAATTCCACATTATATCTAAATGACCATAAAGTTTATTGTGATAAACTGTGTAATACAAGCATGTAGTTGATGCAGTAACTGAGGACACAATGTTACTAAAACAGTATAATCTCACACATTGTCTGTGACATACAGTTTGTTAATACTGAGTGGTTGTTGGAGCAGGAATCCTCAGAACCGCAAACTCCACAGATACCGGGGTTGCAATACTTTGCAAAACTCCTTATTTTCCTGTGCTATGAAATTCTGGGAATGGGAAATTCCTGAGGAACGAGAAAATCTGTACTTTTCTCAGTCGGCATGAACTTTGACCTTTTCTTCGGGTGTTTAACTATATGGGTTTTCCCTGTCCTATTGATGCAAGCCTGTTCCCGACAGTAGTTTCTGTACTCTAAGTGACGAGGCAGCAGTGGAGCAAATGAGTATAAATACCAGCACCTTTTCCCTCAGTCAACCATCACAAAGGAGCTGACAAGAGTCAACGAGAGAGTCAAAGGATCTGACCACCTTAAACCACTCAAACCTCCTGAAGATGAAGACGTTCAGCGTTGCAGTTGCAGTGGCCGTTGCACTCATGTGTATTTGCATTCAGCAGAGCTCTGCCACATTTGCTGAGGTTACAGACTGTGTTAAATTCATGTAATGTGCTTCTTCTGCATGAATTTGTTGTGAAGATGCTAAGATCTGTTTTCTTTCTCTACAGATACGAGAACTGCAAGAGCTACAAGAGGCTGTGAGCAATGACAGTCCAGCTGCTGAACATCAGGAGATATCAGCTGACTCATGGGTGGTGAGTTTAATTCAATAAATGAATGAATGAAGACAGTAATTGTGAGATCTCTCAAATGCAGGAAGATGTTTAAAATAGACTGTGCACTCACAGCTTTACATAAAATTAGAAACAATGAAGTGACTTGCAGCTGAAGATAAACTCTCTGCTCTTCTCCTCTTTCACACAGATGCCGTACCACAGACAGAAGCATGGCATGAAGTGTCGCTTTTGCTGCGGCTGCTGCAATGCTGGTGTCTGTGGATTGTGCTGCAGATTCTGAGAATATCTACCTGCGATTATCACATCAACCACTAAATATAGACTCTTATACATGAAATGATTTGACTGCTTAGCATTTGTTAAAGTCTGACAGTGTTTCTTCATCTGGTCGTCCTGCTGTATCAGTGAACAGTGTACCAAGCATTTGGAACTACAGTATGTTATTATATTAAAAAGTTCAGAGTCACTATACTATAACATGTGCTGGGTTTTTTTTCTGTTTCTGTCTGACAAGAATTAAACATTAATGGAAACCAGTGACATGTTGCCTCATACTCTTGCCCATGTCGTATATGGTACAACCTGTTAATAGAGCCAAGCCATTGATAGCAAAAGTAAAGTGAGCATATTTTCCCATATTTGTAATTATATGAGTGGGGAGGATCTCATCATCATTCAATGTTACCACTAATTATGACAAAAATGCAGTAATGTACAATAGCTTTGAGCTGATGGACTGGTTCGTTGGTTATTTGAAAGTTAAACCAAGCATACTTTTTTTTTAAAGAATGTAGAAGTGTTAGATAATGTTTCCTAGAAACACTTTCTTTACAAGTTCATTCATAAATGTTTTAGACAACCTTATCTTGACAACCTTTCACTGAATTTATTTGGAGGTGTTTTCACGGTGTGCATATGAAGTTTCTAAGCTGCATGATTAATGCAGGAATCCCTCACACAGAAGAAAAAGAGAGAATAGAAAGATTTGAGTACAGCAGAAATTTGATACTGGACATAATAATAGAAAACATCTCAACAATACTGAGAGACGTTGCACTGTGGTGAAACTGTAAAGTAGGTGTAACACTGTGTAATGCTGTTTCAGATAATATCTGTACTATATGTGCGCTGCATTCGTTCTGCAGAACATTTAAGCAAAAATATTTCACGACACTTCAAAAAAAGCTAGAGTAGCTGTATCATGTGGATGTAGCGTATCACAAACAGGCTCAAAGCCAGAACAACCAAACGTGATCAAACGTCAGGCCAAGGTGGAACTGATTCCTATCTTCTGTAACTTCTACAACACTGTCCAATAGAGACACATGAATGAAATGCAGTGTCATTAAAAACACTGATGATTTTTTTTCAAAATCCTCAATTTAAAAAATTTAATATATTTACATCTGAATAAACTTTTAGGCATTACGCTGACTGATTGATGCAGAATTCCCGTTGGACTGTTCCCATCACGACCCAGGTGATCAGTCTCTCGATAGCTTTTCCTCTGGTTCCTGCTCTCTGCTGACACTCCTAGCTCTAGCCACGTTCTCCATTCCATCTCTTTAAACAAATTCTTATAAATAGTTTAACCATGTGCATTGAATCTGCGTTTGGGTCTAAGCCTTCTGGACCCGTCCTTCGCGGTCTACTTGGGCCGGGTCCTCAGAAGGTCGGGTAGGCCGGAAGTAAATGGCTGTGAAACTGGACAGTCTAGCTTTCTGATTAGCGTCACCGCTGTCTCGGTGGAGTTTAATAAACTCGGCCGCCTGCTCCCTGCTATCTAAAATATAACAGGACACTGGCGTAAATTCTCGACCATCTCACACTTCTATTTAATCAGTTTTCTGTTTAACGTTTATTCAGCTGTGTGAAAACCAAGGAGGAACCAAGCAGATATTTGCAGTTTACACAGCTACATTCTTGCTGGAAAATATGTTAAAAGTTTATTTTGTGACCCAGAAAGAGTAATAAGAGTAATATTAAAACTTAGTAGTGGCCGTCATTGTTGGAAACTGGAATTGGCTGGGCTGTGCTATGAATTCTGGGATATGGTTGGTCACGAAGGATACAGCCGACCCATCCTTCAAATTCGGGGAAAAGGAGGACGCATTTGTTGGCTGCGTTTGGAGTCTACGAATTTGGACAGCCTTTGGTGCGTCGCTGTGACGTAATCGGCCTACAAATGCTGCCTCCGGAGGATGCAGCCTGTCACTACCCGATCCGTACCAGAAACCCGATCCGTACCACACATGCGCAAATCTTACGTCACTTCCTCTCTTTGCCAACACTGCGACAGTTAATGTATTTGAGTGACACGGTTAGCGCCCAGTTAGCTCCTAGCATTTCTCAACAGCTCTGCCTCCTTTTCGACTGCCCGGGACATTTAAACAATGGATAATCCGTTTACAAACAAATTCATGCTTTTCTCCTCAACAGAGAGCGTCCCCTAATCGAACAACAGCTCCGTAAAATAAGAAGAATGGCACCGAATTACAGACTTAATAATACTGACTTAGTAATATGTCACATGAAGATTAATCAGCCAGATGAAGTGTTTACTGACAATTGACAGCGATAGTGGACATCATCATTACTATTCCAACAATCCTCTCCACACAGACAACCATAAACACACTCGACTATCACTAAATCAAATTTAACACGCATTTGTAATGACGTTTGTTTGTTTTACAATAGGACTCTTTCGCTCAGTCACCAGGTGGCGGTATCCTCGTACACTGGGGAGTAAACTGCCATTAAACGAAACAGAAGAAGAAGAATACTTCCGCACATGCACGGTACGGATGACGTAGACCCGATTTGTACGGTCCGACTTTGCACATGTGCAGTAAGGATCGGGGAGTCCTGATCGGTAACTATCGTTTTATTTTTCGTTTTTGTCTACATTATATTGAAATGTTTCATTACTCCAAACAATTTAGGCGATACTTATTATTCTTAACATCTTAACAGATATTCTGACCCGTAACTATTGTAAAATGCTTCGGCTGGAAGTAGACACCTTTCGCACATGCATGTGTAACCGGTTTCTGCGTCACCCCGCTGCAACAGTTCGGCCCAAACAGACTCCTCGACTCTGCGTTGTGTTGTGTTTTTAAGAAGACAAGGAGTCTCTGATCGATCGTTGCCATATTATTTGCTGAATGGAAACAGCGGTGTTTTATCAGTGCAAAGGCTCGCCACACACCACTCCAAACAGCACACTATGGCAGAACATCGATTAGCATTCGGCTTTAGCATACAGTTTTACACAATAATAAACAAATGAAAAGTACATAAAACGGGTGTTGTGGACATGTGTCCACTACGCCCTTATTACACTCGGTGCCCATCAGTTAATCAAACATCTTTTATGTGTCTGTACTACTTAGCTACATTGTGTGTGGAACAATACAACTCACCTCTCGTATGGCTATGGCAGACTGGCAGCGATTACTGCAGCCAGCCTCACCTAACCAGCCACACCAAGAGGGGGCGCTGTTTCTCCATTACACTGACATTCGTGGCAAGTGGAATAATACCACATGTCACTACCCGATCCGTACCGGAAACCCGATCGGTACCCCGCATGCGCGAAAGGTTTCTACTTCCGGTCGTAGCGTTTTACGATAGTTATGGGTCAGAGTATCTGTTAAGATGTTAAGAATAACAAGTATATCTTAAAATGTTTGCAATAATGAAGCATTTCAGTACAATGTAGACAAAAACGAAAAATAAAAAGAAAGTTACGGATCAGGACTCTCCGATCCTTACTGCGCATGTGTAAAGTCTGACCGTACAAATCGGGTCTACCCGATCCGTACCGCGCATGTGCAGATGTTTTCTTCTTCTTCTGTTCGTTTAATGGCAGTTTACTCCCCAGTGTACGAGGATACCGCCACCTGCTGACCGAGCGAATAAACCCTATTATAAACTGAATTATCGTCATTACAAACGTGTGTTAAATCTGATTTAGCGATAGTCGAGTGTGTTTATGCTTGTCTGTGAGGAGAGGATTGTTGGAATAGTGATGATGATGTGCGCTATCACTGTCAATTGTCAGTAAACACTTCATCTGGCTGATGAATCTACACGTGAGATATTACAAAGTCTGCATTATTAACTCTGTAATTAGGCGCCATTCTTCTTATTTTACGGCGCTGTTGCTCAATCGGGGGACGCTCTCTGTTGAGGAGAAAAGCATGAATTTCTTTGTATACGGATTATCCATTGTTTAAATGTCCCGGGCAGTCGAAAAGGAGGCAGAGCTGTTGAGAAATGCTAGGAGCTAACTGGGCGCTAACCGTATCAGTCAAATATATTGAATGTCGCAATGTTGGCAAAGAGAGGAAGTGACGTAAGATTTGCGCATGCGGGGTACCGATCGGGTTTCCGGTACGGATCGGGTAGTGACAATTGACGTCAATGGTAGTGACACAGCCCATGAATGTGGACACCCCCTTTGTCTCACCTTAATTAATTTCCTGTTTTATTTTGATAGTCTATCATCTCGTGTGCCTTGTGTTGAGTTTAACTTCCCTTGTCTTGTTATTCCTGATTTGTTCCTGCTGTGTTTCCCACCTTACCTTTTGTATGCCTTGCATCTCCTCTTGCCCTTTGTCGTGTCCTCTCCTCCTTTCCCTGTGTTTCATGACAGTTTGTTTTATATTTGGATGTTCTATATTCCTCTGAGTTATGGTATTAAAAAACGCCACAGGGATAGCAGGCTGCAATCAAAGCTAAAGGTGGTATAATGCGGTCTTCTTATTTGTTGTTGTTTTTTAAAGTGTATTGTGCATAGTATTACACAACACTGCATAACCATTACATAACTGTGACATTTTCTGGACATGTTTGCTCAAACCCACGATGCAGACTTGGAATTGGGGGTTTTTGCCAATATGTTCTCAGAACTGACTTAAAATGCAATTTCAACTGCAAACAAAGGGCCTCAGCAGATTTTTGTGGTTATACTTACACCACATAAAAAACAGCAAGACTTCCTGTATTTTGTTTTATGTTTACTTGTTTTCACCTCAGGCTTAAGACTTCCTTTTTAGATAAGACCAGATTTTTTTACATGAATATTTAAAACATTTTTCATAAAAAAGGGACCATAAAAACAATGGTAATAGAGAGAGGACACAATAGTTTCCTGTATTCAGCATTGAATGAATCTCTCTATTAAATGACCGACTGCTGGAGTCAAATCAAACTTAAAGCCAGCACCAAACCAGCAGCTTTGAAGCCTCATGACTGACCTACAGACAAATGTGACAAAAGTTGTGTGTTCAATCTTGGTGGACTGAGCTGATATACGATCGCCTCTAGTCACCGTTTTGATGTTTAAGGAGTGGGCAATCTGTCCCCTATGGTGTTCCCAAACAAACTTCAGACAAGCAGACCTCTGGCCCACTTAGAGGACAAAGGGGAGACGGAGGAAGGGCTGGAGAGAGAAAAGAGGAAGACAAACAGAAAGGGAGAGTAAGCAATGGAGAACTGCTTTTAGGCGTAAACAATAACAATATAAAATCAGCATAAAAAAGAGGAAGGAGCAAGATTAAAGGAAACAAAAGAAAGGGAGGAGACAAGTAGAAATATGACAAACAGCAGGAAAAGCTTCGATAAATAACTATCATTACTGGCAATGGGAGGGTATGTGCCAGAGCTGCCACTACTCCCCCTAGAGGATACATAGAAGCTCCTAAAGAAAGAAACACTGACATCAGTGCCTTAAAGTGTATCTGAGAAGGCACACACAAGGCAGGGTGTAAAAAACTTCCCCTTCCCGTTCTGTGCTCAGTTAGAGGAAATGCTTTGTGGTGGAAATTTACTCGTTTTCTTGGTACTATTCCACCAAAGACCTTTAATTAAAATGAATTTAAACTTTAACCCTCATCCAATAAGGAGACTACTGACTCAGAGCCAAATTTTATTTTAGGAAACATGAATTTATACATGATCTTTTCAAGCATGAAAAAGCTTCAGTAATTTCATGTAGCAACTCGTAAGCCATCTGGAACTTACCGGGACCATATTATATCGCGCAAACATGAGCAATGTATACATTTATGCAAAACTAAGGCTATTTAAACGTCATAGTCAGTTCTACGGGTTTATGGCAGGGGAAGGGCTAAAAAACTGACAGGAAGTGAGTGTTTATTCTGCAGAATGATACTGATGCAATCGCGATTAACCAAGAATAATGTCTTCATGACTGCATCATGTTTGTGGCCTCTTAGATGCGGTGCGTCTTGAACACCAAAGATTAAATGATTAATGATGGAAGGTTATTAAACATATACAGAAATAAAGAACTGTCAATAGACTTCAAACTGGTTGGTGAAAATGGACAAACAAACAGGCTAATAATAAATAAAATAAAAATAAACAAACCAACTTTCTTCCAGTTTGTACATAATACAAAATGATGGTGTTTACGTCGTAGTACTGTATGAATGCTGCACTTTACAGGAAGTTAACGCACCTCATTTGGTTCATGCTGTGATCAAGTTAACTGTGTCTGCCCAGCTGACAGTGTGTGATACGTTAAATTAGGAACCATGGCAAACAAAAAGCCAACAAATACTTCCATCAAATATAAAAGTCAATGTGGATGTAGGTGCCTTTCACTACATGTTCCATGAGGCCCGTCCACTGAACTAATGATAGACGTAGCATCCGTGAAGTCCATCTATTGGTTTTGGGCTCTGCATTTTGAAGTCTCAAAGTCTGGCTCTATAAAGCCTCTATCTTGGGTTTTCACAGCTCTAAGGCATAGTGTGAAATACTACACCCCATGATTCAGCATCTTGTAGAGTCACTTAAAGCAGCACTTACTTCAGATCATGATTTATCAGCTTTCTCAGTCTCTGATGTTGTTATAGGAAGATTTTAGCCCACTCTTCTTTACATTGCTTCAGTTTATTGCAGTTTGCAGACATTAGTTTACCCACAGCTCTCTTTATGTCCCCCACACCATTTCACTCCCGTTTAGGTCTGGATTCTGACCAGGCCATTGCAACACTAGGATTTTTCTATTTTTCAGTCATTCTGTTGTAGATTTGATAGTGTGCTTGAGATCATGGTCCTGTTACCAGGCTTTACTCGTTGAGCAGCCGACCTTGTGTTTGAGACAGGAATACATCAGTGTTCATGTGTTCAGTGTTACTCATGAGTAACTCATGAGTTCATGCTTAACTTAATGACCACAAGGTGCTCAGGTCCTGTGGCCGCAAAACAAGCCCAAATTATAACCCCTCCACCACCGTGTTTGACACTTGGTATAAGGTGTTTTAATATGCTGTTTTTGGTTTTCACCAAGTGTATCACTGTGCATTATGACCACACATGTCCACTTTGGTCTTGTCTGGCTAAATGACATTGTTCCAGAAGTCTTGCAATTTGTTTAGTCCTAAGATGTCCTGCCATGTGGTTTGTAAAGGGAAGAGGCTCTCTCCTGACAATCCTTCCAAACGGGCAATATTTGTGCAGACCAACAAACTGCCCAAATTTCTGTTGGTCACACTTCCTAATGATAATTTGTCTGTTTTGTTCATTTGTTTTGTTAATTTATTTCAAACATGTAAACAATATACAGGTACATTTAGTGAAAAATATTTAATCAAGTGCATTTGCTAAGTGGAACCGGGCTGCCACTTACCTTCTTCAATCCTGTTGAAGCTGTAAGGGTGCACTTGGTTTAGGGCTGCACAGAGTCCTGTGAACTTCATTTTCACATGAAAGCATGTGAAAATTAATGCTTACACTTTGACCTTTTAATACATTTATAATAATGTGTTGAATCTACCTCTAAGACATTCCAACTGTGTGTGTGGTGGCGTTGATCAAGTGGGACAAAGGTAAAGGTGCTGCTAAGACTGTCCGTCCTGCTGTTTCTCTTTGCAAAGATAAAACCACTACCACATAACAACCCCTGACTTCATAAAAAAAAAAATTGCATTTGCACTTTTGAATCAATGATTGGGTCGCTCAGTAGGTTATAATGAACTTGTGTTGAAATTAGGTGGAATTCAAAATGGTATCAGTCTGAAAAGGCCACTTGAGTTCATTAATTTTATCAATTTAATTTAGACATCAAGGGACACTTTTTAAAGGCCACTGGATGACCAGATTTAAACAAAAACAAAGTGCATTTATATTTGATGTCCGGTGCTGTGGTAACAGTTACTCTGTGACAAGTGACTTGGCTTCTTCTCAAAAGCCCAAAAGGTTTTTTAATGTGTTTGAAGTTATTGAGGAAGACGGGGGATGGCTTTACCGACACCAGGAAGGAAACAAAGGCAGAGAGACTGGGTCACCTAGATGGAAATGAGACCGTGGACACGGTTGTTTCAGATGCTGCAATAGCAGAACATACGCCGTCGCCTCACAGTAACAAGGTTTTGGGTTCAGATCTGCTGGTCGGTGTCTTTCTGTGTGACGTTTATGTTCTTCTTGTTCCGGCTGAAGTCCAAAGACATCCCTGTTAGGTAGCCTGGGGATTCTAAACTGGCCGGGCAGGTGAGGTAAATAAGGTGCTGTATTGAATGTATAGGTTTTGAGTTGTCAACCCTATTTTTAAAAAACCTTTATAAAATGTAAAATCTTATTCCAGAAAGAAACCAGGAAATATGAATTTCAAATCAAGGTAGAGTATCTCAAATTTGTGACTCTTAAGGAGTTCTTGATCCTTGCACCATGTCATTTCCTGTGTCTTTCCCCTCATTTCCTGTCAACCAACTTTTGTGCTTTTTCCAATTTCATATCTTAATAAAAAATCTCCTTCTGAGCTCATATATTAATATTACAACATAACTCTATGAGCTAGCTTTATACCATTACTGTAAACAATATTTATGTGACCAAATTTGTGGTAGAAAGCTTTTAAAAGCTGTCGTGCATGATATTTATTTTCAAGACTTTTTCCTACATTGACACTTTAACACCTTGCACTTTTAAACCTTTCTACAACTCAGAGTGAGTCATGTATGTGCTGGGAAATAATACAACAGGTAGGCGGGGGGACAAACAGACAGAGCGAGTGAGAGAGAGAGAGAGAGAGAGGGAGAGAGGAAGTGGTGAGGATGCTCTACAGTCGCTGCAGCACTTGGCTCCTCATTTCACCACAGTCAGCCTAAGAGCTGATATCACACAGTATTTCTCTGTCACTGCCTTTTCCCAGACACGCATTGGCCAGTTTCTTCACAGCACCATGCCGATCAAGGTGAGTGAGAATCTCTTCTTTTTTCCGCCTCTCCACTTTGTGTTAAGGGGGGCAAGCGGTCAACTTTTCCATCTTAATCTGTGCCATCTTAGCTGTGAATGTGTCATTGTTTTAGCATGTGTGGGCCATTCGTGTGCCTCTTTAGAGGGAAGACGTGCTGGCGATGGTATCACAAGAGGAAATCAGCTCCACTTCCTTTTCGTCAGAGAGAAATAAAATAAAATGTGCCATAGCCAGCTGGCAAAGAGTTGCCATCATTTGCATGCATGCAAAACAGCTGCCGTGTGTGTGCTGTGTGAGGAGGTGCAGGTTTAAACATTCACATGAACTGACTGAGTTAAATATAGGCCTTCAGTGAAAGCACCCAGCTAAAAGTAGACATCAATTCAGAGGTCTTTTATCAAAAGCAGTGTAAAGGACCGGCGTTGAGTTCCTGTTCGAAATTACAGAGTTGTGAAGAAGTGATCACTCAGATGCTTGTGAGTTTGGAGGATGTTAGCAATACTGCTGACGTTTGTTGCATCATAATGAAATGTGTTTCTAGTCTAGACTATATCGAGATGAGGGCCTGTGGGCTCCACTCAGGGTGGAATGTTTAATATTTTCTCAACTTTTATGGACAATATATGACAATACCAAAAGATCCATCTGTGCATGTTCAAGCAAGAATGTCATACTTAGTTATACAGTATAGTGTCAGAAAGTGCTTTATAACCCAGTACATGGTATATAAATGAAGGACATAACAGCAGCACAACGTTTCAAGAAAGGAAAGAAACAACACTAAAATGTGGGATAGAATATTCCAGCTCAGAAGTAACAAATGCATCATCAGCATCAACAGTAGTAAGTTAGTGTAAAGTAGCTTGACTTATGCTAAATAATATTGTAATTTACAAAATGAGCCTCAAATTCCATAAAAAAGAGACTGGAAACATGCTTATATTAATGGATCTTCTTTATATAAGCAGAGAAGTCGCCATCTTTGACTGTTAGAAAAAGAATCAGGTTTAAGACGTGATCACATTAGCTTTGCCTTTCAGCACTTTAAGGAACATTCAGCTTTTATATACAGTAAATGCGTCACTATTGGCCCCTTTTAAGCCATCCAGGCATGAATATAGAGATAACTCCTAAATGTAAATAAATACTTTTTTTGATGGTGTGAATTGTCTTAACACTCCTTCAGTGGCTGTTTGGGTTGGCGATGACTTCCTGTACCAAAGCTGAGGAATTCAAATATCTTGGGCTCTCAATTGGCTCAATTTTGGCTCTCCCTTAGATATAGAGTTAGTAGCTGGGTCATTTCTGACAAGCTAAGAGTGGAGCAACTAATCCTCCACATCGAAAAGAGCCAGCTCATTTGGTTCAGGTATCTGACTAGCATGACTCCTAGGTGAGGGGTTTTATGTCTTATCGGGAGCAAACCCAGTTGAGTTTGCATTGCATTACTAGCTTGGCAAAGCCTCAATGTCCCCTCTGAAGAGTTGGAGTAAAGTTGGAGTCAATATGTAAAGTGTTGCAAAGCCAAATCAAAAATAATCTACCAAAGAGTTTATGTCCATACAATTAACCTCATTCACTGATCTGATTCACTAGGTCAGTTTTTAATAATCTTTAGCAAGGGTTTTATATCTATTCAGCTTCTAATTTAAACATGCAAAGGAGAGCTGCATGTGAGATCCTTGAAAAAACAAGTTTTGCCGTCACGACCCCCTGAAAAGACAGTTGCATTCTCTTAGAGACAGACCGCGAAACCACATCCTGAAACAGTGCTTAAATTAGACAGGGGCTTGTCTGCCAGGATAGAGTTTTCAAATTTGCTCATTAAACAAGATGATGTTACTAGAAGAAAAGTAACTTGTGCTTCCTAATGTTGGTTAAAATGCTGGTGCAGTTGCAAACTGAATCACAGAATACCTCCAGCTGATGCCTTTATGTACACACGTAAGTCAACTGTGTTAGTGTTAGTGCATCTGCCCATTTTCTGGCACAAATATAATGCAGCTGTAACCTATATGGACTTGTTGCCAGGTTTCCAGATTATAGATTTTGCTGATTAAAGGTGTATAATTTATTTGTTACACTTACATAATGCTTGAATCTCCAATACTGCTTATGTGCAGATTAATTTTTTCAATTGTTTCCATATTTGTTTGTTTGAAGTTTAAGTGGTTGTGTATGTTTTGATTGCACATTTTTGAATTGCTGAAGTTAATTTTCACAGTTTTAAAACTGCATATATTTTCACGAGGTTGAAAGTAACACCTCACAATACAGCCCTCAACTTTCCACATCATAGTCCTACAGTTATTTTCAGCATCTAAAATTAGAACTTATGCAGAGTACAAGAAGGGAGTTTTTTCAGGATATTTGAAAGAAAGGCAGGGTTCAATATATCCAGTGGCACAATGGCTTAGGGCCAGAAAAAAAGTATGCAGGCAAATTGGTTGGACTTCTGTTCAAGCCAAAGAAGGTCACCTGTGAATTGTTTCACATTAAAATACCAATACATGTCCTTTATCACGCCACCTGTTTGGATAGTTTGAAACAGTCTTTTTAGTTATTCAAATCCACCAGTGGTTTGTTGTACTCGGTTATAGCGCAACTAAATTAAACAGAAAGCAAAGTGAAATCTGTCTGTGTTAAAAGAAGCTTTTAGATCTTTAGATTTTGCACAGATGTCTATGCTGCAAGCTGACAGCAACCACCCAGTCTCTTTTTAGCAGCAACACCACAGAAGGCAGTTCAGGTGAGTTTAAAGTGGGGTACATGATTTACTCTATTATATTTACTACAAAGCTTCAGATTTATGAAATTAAATTAGCAAATATATTTGGTAGTATATGAGGGGAAGGGAAAACTTAATTTTAAAGTTTCTTACACTGGTAATTACACATGGGTGCAGGCTGTATTATAGAGTATCCCCTCTTGCCTTTTCACATTAATTACCCTTAGCTGGGGTGGTCTGTATTTTTTGTAATTTCAGGAGAATTACATTGGAAATAAACCATAATCTAAAGCCCATGCAATTGAAATGAACAGATCTTGGTATATGGCTTCATTTCGCTAATCACTGTGTCCTTTTTTGGAAGCTGATGATCACATAATCAAGAAAACACTGTGCACTGTTATAACACGGGGGGATTGAACATGTAATAGTTCCCAATCCTTCTTAATTGGGATCAAGGGTTGTTGTGAAGTATTCTGGAGTTAAAAGACTAACACATTCACCAAAAGGTCCTCAGAGTCCAGAAGTACCCCAGACAGAAAGATTATTGAAAGCCCAGGATATACTGTAAGTCACAGGAACAACTAGACAAGACTGATAGGGAAGCTTTTCACTAGCGTGTGTGCGCTTTGCATTGACATTCATGCAAATGCAACACATTGTGTAACTCCTTTTTTCTTTACCTCATCCACAGGAGCAGCCTACCTGGAAAATGCCCTTTCTGTAAATTGTTGTGTTTGTGCATTTACCACTGAGGGGAAAAAAGGAACTCGGGCAGAATCAAAGTTGGAGGAAGGACAGCCGAGCTTCCCTCTAGTCCAGTTCTCTCTGTCCAAAAGATGTCAGCATCCCCTGCCAGCACCCTAGGAAGGGGAACCAAAACCTCTAAAGCGTCAAAGGATCATAAAAAGGTGAGTGAATCATTTCAAGCAAGCAATGGAAAAATCTTCAGGTAGGAACAAAGTTACTCCCACCCAAAGTCATTGCTGATGTCAAAACAGAAAATATCTGCGGTCAAACAGAACACTGAAACCAAAGGTTGTTTTTTTATTTGGGAGTCTAAATGTGAAACTTATTATTTTCTTTCCTGAGCTGTTTATTTTAATTATTGACTACACCATGATCTTGGGAAAAATAATTAGTAGCTTAAAGGGGTCATAAAAATTCAAAAAGTCATACAGAAAGTCATGTGCAATATTACTTTAAGTCAAATGAAGTGCAATAACGTGACTGCAGCTACTCTTTCATCAGCTGTGTTATGTAACAGAGCTGCTCTGTGAGGTAGGGAACAAGTGGTGGGAAAATGGTGTGATTAGGCTGATCGGCTTCACACTCTGGCTCGCAGGAAAAAGCTCTAAATAAGTTCTAAAGTAAAATGTCTGCTTTTCTTTTAATTGGAAAAATTAATTTACAGGTATTAAGGCTTCGTTTAGTATTTGAGGTTGTCCTGAAGTGCCGGGAGCCTGTTCCAGACTTCAAAGCAGTTTATTTTAAATGATTTGTTTGTTTTAATTATTTTCTGATATAAATGAAGACAATTGTTTTAGTCACACTATATCGTTACATTTGGTCCACAATGAAATGCTGTGACTTACTGTAACACACTATGGCGTTTAACTGTGCCCATAATACAGCGTCACAGAGCACCAGGTGTCACTTTGAAAAAAATCCAGAATGAGCCCCTGTTAAAAACAACAGACATATTTTGTATCTGTTTGGTATCTTTGTATCCATACACAGAATCTTACCAAAACAAAAACAAAAAGAAATGCTGACCATTAAAATCTGTAGGGATGATTATAATTTTGCATTTAGCACAATTTTATCATTGAAGACTGTACTTTATCACAGGCAGTATAAAAGATGGCCATAACACCCATGGCATCACCCATTGTTTTAGGTTTCTGCAGTTTTGAAGCCCCAGTGTTAGAATTTTTGGCCATATGTTTTGTTTTTCAGCATTAAGTGACCATAAGTGACAATGGGAATGCTAACTTTTCGGCTAATGCTAGCAAGGTGCATTCATTAACTGCATGTTACAACCACAGGCAGTATAAAACATGGATACAGCTTCTATGTCTAAAAAATACAGTTGCTTAAACCCTTATTCTTTGGAGGTAACTACGCAGTTGCAAAAGACTTCTGGACATAGGACCAATGCACTTGTAAGCATGTTTCAGCGATACAGGATTAGTCCTCTGCCCTGACCTAAATATACATTTTATCAGATTACTGTCTCATTTGGGTCATATTGAATAACTAATTAAATCTGTTTTGCTAATTTTGGGCATTTTAAATATCAGAAGGCTGGAGTACCAATTGTATTCTCATTGGCTAATCACTTGTTAGCTACATCCATGTTTTATGCTCTCTATGCATGCAACACACAGATACACATGCAGGCTAATAACAGGGATACGTAACAGAGTAACTAAATACTGGAATGTTTCTTATCAAAATTAAAGCAATAGATTCTTGGAAAGTTCAAAGAGGAGATAATAACAGTGAGCTCCATGTTAGCAGAGGAGAGGCCTAGCTACCTGAATCGGGAGATCTGTCAGGGAGATCAGAGAATAAAAATAACTCCCTCATAAAGGAAAAATATTTTTTGTGGTACCAGGTGATAAATCTGTCTTTTATTGCTGTAAACTTGTACATTTTGAGAAGAGAGCCAGCCTGAAGTGATCACTAAAGAAACTACAGTTTCTGGTTCTTCAGTGTTAGCTAAATTTTGTAGTTTGCTGTTTGTGTTTCACATGCTTCCTACATCAAAAAGCTTCAGCTTACTATCCTCTTTGTATATTAACACGATATCTAAAAATGATATAAATAAGACCATTATTAATCTAGCTAATGCTGTCACTCACTGTGAGGCAACTGTAAGCACAGTTTTACTTTGAATTAAATGCTAACATGCTCATAGTTACAAAACAAACTAAAGGAGCCATTATTGGTGATGTCAGCATGCTAACAAATACTGGAGATTAAAATTCCTTCTGAGAGAAGCTTGCCAATGCTATAGCTAATCCAGTGTTGAGGTATTTTTGCACCGGACCAAAGTGTTGAACAACGATAAACTATGTTACAAAGAAAGCAAGAAAATGTGCAACTAAGTGCCACAAAAAAAAATTCCTAATTCTAGGATGTCTAATTTGTTTGTTAGCCTACACCAGCTGCACTCAAAGGCGCCATCCAGCTGGGCATCGGTTATGCTGTGGGAAACCTCAGCTCGAAACCAGACAGAGATGTTCTCATGCAGGACTTTTCTGTGGTGGAGAGTGTCTTCCTGCCAAGGTACACTCACATTTGCACTGCAATCCTTTCAGAGAATGACCAATGCACATGCACAGGGATTTCCCCCCCCCCCATATATCTAGGATGTTTTCTATGCATGTTAGGTTTACTCTGAAATGTCAGGGAGTTTAATTTTATCACTACCTACCAAGGAACTGAATGCATTTTTGGGAGATTTGAGTAAGCTTTAAATCCCAGATTGGCCTCATTACATAGCACATCAAGTCACAATCCAAGTACTAAGCCTAAACCCCAAAATGAACCAAAACTATGTAAGTCAGCTAAGTGTGAACATCGTCACTTTCTCCCAGCCTACAAAAAAAATAAGTTGACTACATATTACCAACGAAAGAAAGAAATGCAAATTATTATTATGAGAAATCTTACTCTAAGTTATTTAAACAAACACAGTGGCAGCCAACCTGTATTGATGTTAAGAAAAAAGGGAAGTTACCTTTAGAAGTGTGCAAATAATCACTTGTGGGTTGACAGAAACCACATGTTTCAGCAACCCCATTATTTCTCAATAGGCATTTTGCACTTGGTCACTAGAGGAAGATAATACTGCAGCTGTTTCTTTCCAGTAGTTCATTTCATGGATATCAGCTATCAGTAATTTTCAATAGTTACACCTGTGCATTTCTAACCATGACCTGTTACATGCTCATGTCACAGTGCTCCTAAAAGTTGCAAATAGCTAGACTAATGAATATTTTGTATGTGTTCCAGTGAGGGTAGCAACCTGACCCCGGCACATCACTTCCCAGATTTCCGTTTGAAAACATACGCCCCACTGGCTTTTCGCTACTTCAGAGAGCTCTTTGGCATCAAACCGGACGACTATCTGGTGAGGGTGGAGACCCAAATTCACATTCTGGCTCACGACAATGTGGTGTAAATTTCCCCTGAGTTGATTGCAAAACATTGTTCGGCTTAAACTGTTGCCTCACTTTGAATTTCAGTACTCCATATGCAATGAGCCGCTGATAGAGCTGTCCAACCCCGGTGCTAGCAGTTCCTGGTTTTACCTCACCAGCGATGATGAGTTCATCATCAAGACAGTGCAGCCTAAAGAGGCAGAGTTCCTGCAGAAGCTGCTTCCTGGTTACTACATGGTGAGCTACTAAATAAACAAGTCTTAGCACATTTGCATTAAAGCCATACAGCAACATATGTTTGCATTACTCAAAGCAAGGTAAAGGGCGGGGGGGGGTATTCTGACCACACATGAAGTATTGTGTAAGTGCAACATACAGTTCCATACTACTAGTAATTACTTAAGTTTTAACAGTTCGCTCAAGCTGCTTTATATGCTAATGAAAAACACTCAACATTATTAGCAAGAACCCCACCTATTCAAATTAATTGGTGAAAGTGGTGAGAAAGAACACCTATTTGACAGGAAGAAACACCCAGCAGAACCAAGTTCAGGGAGGTGCAGGAGTTAATAGATGGTCAGGATCACACAATCCATCCCTAATTATAATCTTTATTAGAAAAGAAGATTTCTGTCGGCTGAACCTAAAATGGAACTGCTGTGCACATGCATCAGCACATGGACATGACTAGCTAAATTGTTACTTTTGGGGAAAGGGAACTGATTACTATATCACCTTTTAATATGCCACTGATATAATCTACAGTTCCCAAAATGACCTGTTTACATGTGTATGTTCACATTTCTTCTCCGACCACTTATTTTGGACTAATTCCTATTTGAAAGTTGCAGTTTCAGTCTTTCTCTTCTTAAATGGACTTAAAATGGACAATAAAATGATTCATTTGGACCAATATTATCAGGGACATTTACTCCTTCTCTGTTTATCACTTAAAAAAACCATCATCTTTGTTATTGTAGAATCTCAATCAGAACCCGAGGACGTTACTGCCCAAGTTCTACGGCCTCTACTGCATCCAGTGCGGAGGCATCACCGTTCGAGTGGTGGTCATGAACAATGTGCTGCCGCGAGCCATGAAGATGCACTACAAGTACGACCTGAAGGGATCCTCGTACAAGCGCCGCGCCTCACGCAAAGAGCGTTCCAAGCCCTCACCCACATTCAAAGACCTGGACTTCCAGGACATGCACGAGGGCCTGGTCTTTGACCCGGACACATATAGTGCCTTGATGAAAACCTTGCAGAGGGACTGTCGGGTATGTTTACTTAATTAAGGATGTTACATCCATTAGCAACTATGTGTTGCATTCAATAGATAAATATTGAATGCAACACCTTTAAGATGTGCATTTTTACTTGTCGGATATATCAACCGCTAAAATTTTTAAAGATCACAAGTCAAAAATGTACTTTTTTCATGATACTTGAAACAACATAGTCTAATAACTGCAAACTTAGATCCATTTATTTTAATTTAAAAAAAGATTGCCATAAGAGGGTTGCTAGCTCATCATTTGGGGACCATTAAAACCGTAACCCTTGTGTTGTCCTCGGGCCAAAAATGGTCCCTAGGTGAATGGCAAACAAGTATATGGGAATCCCAAGGACACCAAATCCAGCTAAACTACCATTTTTATGTTGTAAGCCACATCCACTAAACTGCTGGCTAGTGAAGTAGATTTAGTGTTTAGTGTAGCATGCCTTCAGCAATACATTCTCATCCTGAGGGCTCACATAATGCGGGGTTATCCGATGCTGCTTGCATCTCACTTTTATGAACATCGTGTGTGTCAGGATGGCAAAGTTGGGAGCTGAGTTGTAATGCTCCCATTTTAGAGACACTGGAAAGTTTTTAGTCAGGAGGCTATGCTTAACAGTCCGTTTATACCTTTTTATTTCGCTAATTAATTTTCTTTTGACGCGTTTTTTTTCTTAATTGTAGGAGTGTCCTGCTGTTTAGGCATGGCAGCAGGTTATTGTCTGTTGTAGGCGCTGCACTTTGTGGTTGTGCATTGTCGCAAGGGTATAACATCAAAGTTATGTGGGCTACAACTGCTGGTGTCTTTGCTCTTTTTAATCAAGTGAAACTGAGTCATTAAAAGCAGCCATTGTTTGTGTTTCTCGCGCCCTCTTTAATCTTTAATCTTTTTGTTTTTGCCTCCCCTGTTGTTCACAATAACTTTTGAACTAATCATCATCCTACCTACATTTATCGCCCTTTTAACCTCACTGTTCACTGTCCAGTCAGACCTCTCATCAGTTGCAGATATTTTAACTGTTCCCAGAATTAGATCTAAGGGTGCCCAAGGTGCTTTCAGGTATTTGGAAAAACCTTTTTATGTACACAGGCCTGCATTCAGTATGTTTTTGTTATTGGTTTTTGTTCTAATTTGTCTTGCTTTATTATAGTTTGCTGTTTTCACTGAGTTTGGCATTGTAAACCTACACTGGTTTTCATGTTCTCCTGTGCTGAGCACATTGAGTTTGCTTGTAATGAAATGTGCCATATAAATGAAATTGCCATTGCCATCATCATAGGGCGATGCACTGCTGGAGTTTCATGGGATTGCACAAACATGGGACCATAAATCCTACAATAGGCACTTAAAGGTGCTTGGTTGGGTTAATTACAACTACTTGGTTTGAGTTAGGATGATATCAGTGTTTGATTTACATTGCACTTTGCTTGCAGCTCAGACATGCTAATAACTTTGACACAGTAAGAACATCCTGTTTTCATACATGAGCTTTTGACAGTGTTCAGAGATTCTGGTCGGTTGACCTTTTCCACATGTCGTGCAACAATAAGAGATGGTTTGTCTGACATGCTCAGAACTGATTTAGGCGATATGACACAAGACACCTGATGCTCACTAGCTGTGAATCATCTCGCGGGTTTAATAGAATCTTCCACAAAGCTTGTTCTTAAGAATTTGGAAGGTAAGTGTTGCCCAAATTTCGAATGCTTAGCTATACTCTCCAAAAGGAAAGGTCCCAGAAAATCCCAATTATTCCAGAGCTCCAAACTAAATGGTCATGAGGATAAAACTTTTATCAGAAAAGCATCACTCACTTGGTTTTTATGCCAAAATAAACCCAAAATCCAGAGTTTATATTCAGCCAATGATAACTGCGCAATTCCCCTACTTTGATAACATCACACAGGCCAGCACCTGGAACTGTGTCCCTGTTTGTTATTCCCTGAGCTGTTTTGATGACTGCATTAGTGCATGCCTGTTGTTTCATTAGCGAGAAACAATAGTGGTCACTTGATGAAGGATTAGCGTGCAGCAGAGCGAAACATCTGACTAATGGTCAGGCGGAGCAGCTGGACGCTAAAGCGCAAACTGGATGTAATACGCTCATACTGGGCTGCTGTATATGACCTCAGTTAGTGCATTAGGTAACGCAGCACATTTTAAGGCCCTCTTTATTTACAAGAGGTACTTCGTGACATAAGTGCTTGGTCAGAGGGATTGAGGCTTATGCTTTACTGTATTTTTGCTTATAGATCCAGGGTTGATCTCTGGGAGTGGGACTTCCTTCAAAGTAAAACTTTTTATTCATTTATTTTTATAAAGAAAATTGAACTGTAGGTGATTTTTGTTTTATTTTATTACTCAAATTATTATATTGTTAAAACCACTGAGTAAAAAATGTGGACATATATCAAAAAGGTGATATAATAAACAAAATAATGACGGGAAATTCTCTATTGCCTTTGTTTGGTGATCTGAAACATTTAAGTGTGACAAACATATAGAAAAAATAGGAAATCAGAAAGGTGATTGCAGCTGATTGCTTGACAGATAAACAAGCATTCATGCAGCTCTGTGGGGGTCCACGTCCGTATCAAGTAGCTTTCTTTAGCAGGCATGTCATTTGTAACCTCCACGTGGCTAACCTGTTAGCTCATAAATGCCAATAATGGAAGGGTTTAGGTATGAGGTCTAAGTAGGGAACAAATTAAAGTATTGACCTCTTTCTTTTTGGTAGATTAAACGTCAGAGGATCGCCAGATCATTCTGAGGGATAAGTAAATGTTTATTTGCTCAGACAAAATCTCATTAACGGTTGGCAAAATTTCCTGTTCAGCTCAGCTGTGGGATTCAAATGAAATGTCTCTTTATTTGGGAATATAGAGAGATACTAGGCCTATGTAAGCAACTAGAAGCCTCGGACACACATAACCACAAAATGTCTAATACCGCAGGCTCTGCTCTGTAGGCTCGATTGACCCTTTTAGTGGTTTGTGTCTGTATTTCATTACACAAGTTGCCTAAACAATGCCTGATGTGAACTTTACCTCATTTTAATGTTTTGATGATTTGATTTCAGCATGCCATAGCCACCATTACTTCATTCATTTTCCTCTACTGAAAATACAACACTAATTCAGATTTATTTAAATGAAGAGTAATGGATTATTTTAACCCCACAGCTGTTCTGTTAGCTTTGTTTATTTTTATAATGTAAATCTTTCATGGCCTACCTGCAGTGCATTCAAGGTCCACCAGAAGGTCTGTAGTGTGCAGGTCACACTGTGACATGCTTTTTGATGCTCTAAAGGTGGGCATTTCAGAATGGGAGTTTCTTTTAAACAATGCCACTGAAGTAGTTGCAGGTTTTTTGTTTGGCCAGAACCTTATAGTGTCCCTGTAAATCAGTGGGCTCTGGGGAACTTAGTGTCATGGTTTCAGACCTGATAGCCACTAGCATGTGTAGTATTTAAACAGTTAAAAGAATGGAAGGTTAAAAATTTTTAGCGCTGACAAACTAATTATTAAACATTAAAGAAAAAATTTTAATTTTCAAAGGTTCTTAAAATTTGATTCCCTGAGTTCAGTTTTGGTCTCTTATCAGGTCCTGGAAAGCTTTAAGATCATGGACTACAGTCTCCTGCTGGGGATTCACGTTCTGGATAGGAAGCCGCTGAGCAGAGGAAGCAGATGTGACAGCAGGAGAGGACAGAAAGTCCTCTACTCCACCGCCCTCGAGTCCATCCAGGGGAATGTCAAGGACCCAGAACCAGTGGCAGATGATGACACGTAAGTGGACACTTTGGACTAAGCAGCACATATGATAGAGGAAACCTTTTTTAACATCTCACATCACAAGTTATTTTTATCTTAAAATAAGTATTACCATATACTTTATACATACTAGTTTGCACACAGTCAAATCTAATAAGAACGGTTTGCTTCATACTAAAACGCCTGTTTTTAGGTCTTGTTTCCCTTATTTTTCTAGTGGCTTTTTTTTAAAACCTCACTGCTCGCTGATCTGGTCAAAAATGTAGAAAAGCTGGACATTCAAAAGCATAATTTCATTTAAAAAACTGTAAAATTATCATAATTTTTTTTCCAGATTGGGTGGAATTCCTGCCAAACATAAAGACGAGAGTCTGCTCATCTTTTTAGGAATTATCGACATTCTTCAGTCTTACAGGTGAGCTCACAGCATTAACATGCACAAAAATAACATGCAGAAGACAAACTGTCTCATCATCCTTACTCAGCTGCACCTGGATCAACCATCCCCATGCAGCATTACAGAAACATTTGTAGACATGCGACTCTTTTTTGTTTGTGACTCTTGTTTCCTTGGCATTATTATTAGTTTATATTTTATGATTCTCAGGTTTTCATCCTGTTTTCCTGCATCAGGAACATTTAAATTAGTTTAAACACTCATTACTGGCTCAGTAAACACAGGCTATATTGTTTGTTATTTATTATTTAAACCTGGAAAATCTACCAAAATGGGATCTGTCCCCATCTCTCATGGCAAGATTGACACAGTCATGGCTGTGAGGCACGGCTGCAGCTCAGGCTCAACTTGGCTGAGGTGGCCTTCCAAGTCCAAAAACCCACAACTAAATTAAAGAGATGCATTGCAGCAAAGCCATCAGAAGCATAGAAGGCATGTAAAAGCTGGATTTGCGACAAAAAATGGATGGACGAATACCAACAGCTGTGACAGTAAATTGTGTTGAAAAGATATAATTTCAGGTAATACCACTTTGTACCACAAGATGGTGCAGTCAGGACAACCGTTATTCAACCAGGCAAGTCCTTAATAAAAGCACATTCTTATTTATAACTGCAGCCCCTAGAGCAGGGGTGTCGAACTCCAGGCCTCGAGGGCCGGTGTCCTGCAGGTTTTAGATATCACCCTGGGTCAACACACCTCAATCAAATGATTAGTTCATTGACTCTGGAGAACTTCAAGACATGTTGGGGAGGTAATTTAGCCATTTAATTAATTGTTGGATCAAGGACACGTCTAAAACCTGCAGGACACCGGCCCTCAAGGCCTGGAGTTCGACAACTGTCCCCTAGGGGAAATAAAGGTATTTAAAAGGAAATCTAAAAAGCTAAACAGCTCACGTATATGTGAACATATACGGTTAACCACTGCCCCCTGGTGGTGAAAAGCAAGAACAAAAAAACAAAAATTTCAAGGCTGTGCAGCACAACCTTGCTAACCACAGTGGCTACCTCCATTTTATTATATACAGTCTATGGTCGAGAGCAAGCATAAATATTTACACAAGTAAAAATGTTACATAATGAACTCATTTGATTTTCAATTTTTAATCATTTTCAGGTTCGTTAAGAAGGTGGAACACTCCTGGAAGGCTCTTGTACATGACGGGGTCTGTAATACTTCTTACTTCTCCTTAACTCCAGGCTGTTTTATCCCTTATGTATGCAGCTGCTCACACGTGTGCCCTGTTTTCATTTCAGGACACAGTGTCAGTGCACAGGCCCAGTTTTTATGCAGACAGATTTCTGAAATTCATGGGCACGACTGTTTTCAAGAAGAGCCATCGTAAGTCATGCTAACCTGCCACCATTCTGTTTCCTGCATAAACGCAGCTTTTGTTTTAAATTCTTTTTCTGTGTGTTTAAGCTTTAAGAGGAGCATCTTCAAAGAGGAAAAAGAACTCTCTTTATGCAAAGTCAGTCTCCCAGGAGATTCTGTCCCCGCTGAAGGAGATGAAGGAGGAGAAGAAAGCCCAAAGCATGGACAACCTGGATGGAAACTGTAAGCTGTTTCTTTTGTTTATGTTTGTTTTATTAGAAGCTTTGCTTGACTTGTTCGCTGACGGTGTATTTGTTTTTAACAGTTTACAGTTCCTCCAAACAGCCGGATCTTCTACCTGAGTCTGCCGTTTCTTTAAAACTGAGCGGAAAAGAGGAAGAAGACTATGAAAACAGGTACTTCACATGTACTGCTTTCAGATCAAAGCCCAGTTTTCAGAAGAGAAGTTGAAAAGTTGATATTTTGATCTGATTCACACTGACACAGACATGAAAGTGTGTAACCAAAATCCATCCATCAGTTCTTGAGATTATTTTTGTGGACATTGTTTAGCTTGCACATATTTGAAGCCTTGAAATTTGGCCGTTGCCATGTTGTTGGAGCCATAAAGGACCATATTTGGATGACAGGGTGGCGAACTATGTTATCAGGAAGCTGCTGAAAAAGGCTTTAGTGTATGGGGATCAACTTCCTTATGGAGCCAGCAATGAAGTGGCCATTTGAGGAATTGTGTGTTTTTAGGAGTTGCAGTTCATTTTCAGCTCTAAAGTTTGCTTCTTGTGGCTTGTGAGCTGCAGTTTTTTTTCCCCTGCCACTGATGAAATGTTCCAAACAACTGTGTTTTTACTGTTTTCTAAAGAGCTAAAGCTACATCTTTCTTTTGATATTCAACAATATATTCTGAGAGGATGCTGAACAATGAATGATGATGTAGACATTAACTCAGCTCATACACAACAGTAAATTGTATTTCTATGTTGCAGTGAAGACCGACGAGCCTCCAGTTCAACGATTGCTCTGGACGATCCACTGCCGTCCCTCAGCAGAAGCCAATCTGACTCTGAACTGGATGTCTACTTGGTAAGCCATGTAATTTAAATTGCAGAGTCTTAATGGGTTCTGTAATGCTATAGCTTATCGTTAGACTACAAGCAACCCAGGCCCAGCACCGAAGACCAGTAAACATTTAACAAGTAATCCAGTCGGAGCCCTGCTGAATGAGGCTCAGACTGGCTCCTGAAAAGAAAGTGAACAAGATTATTTTTCAAGCTGAAGCTTTAACATCCATCTGTGGTTGTACACCCCTCACTCAGTACAGCATCAAACTGAATTATTTAGCTAGAGAACAGATCTCAGGCTACATTCACTTGTCACACAAGGGGGAGGAGGGGAAAAATATTCAGGGAGGTTAAGCTCAGATGTTTCTATGTCCAGAAACGACAGTTTAAATGTTATCAGCCCATTGAATTGTTTGAATAGTTCCATTCGTGTCACCTCATCTGTTTCATTCAGTCTTAGAAACAGAAAGTATACATCTGGTGGTCATGCCAAGAAGTGACTGTAAAATCTCCAATTGCAGATACCGTAGCAATTAAGTTATGCTTTTGGTGCCTAAAATAAACTACCTGCTTAGGTTTATTTTATTTTGGGGTTTACATCCAACCAAACAGCTCATAAAAATCGCTTTGTGCATAAAAGCTCCAAACTTTTCGATATATTCTCACATCCATATGGGGTCACTTGCAACATTGTTTGTTTGGCACACGTCTTTCAAGACATTGCTTTACCAAAGACCATGAAAGATAAAGCCACCAACACCCACAAACCCACCCATATTTTAACCATGCATTTTGAAGCTTTCATACTAGTGTTTTGGTTGCAACCATGTAGAGCCATTTTGGAGTCAGGTGGTTGGAGCACTACATAATCAGGTGCCAAGTATGGCTGGCAAGCCGATAAACTGTATATTCAGTTCAGTGCAGTGCAATTGAGTTTTATTATATATATATATATATAAAGCAACAAAGCACACCAACAGTCACCTAAAGGCGCTTTATTAAACACCAACAAGCAAACAACCCAATTTGATCCAGCACGTGGAGAAAGTGGGAGGCAAAAACTCCATCTGTACTACAAGAAATCTCCAACAGAACCAGGCTCAGGGAGGGGCAGCCACCTGCTGCAACCGGTTGGAGATGAGTGGAGGAAGAGAGGACAAAAGACACTGTGGATGTATACGTCTAAAGCACAGTCTCATATCTCCTCCAAGAGACAGAATAATATAAAACTCATGTAAAACCTTCTTGGATGACCCTTCCTTCACAGGAAGTTCCATTATTTGTCACATAATATCATTTTAAAAAGTATCCAAAAGTTCATATATGTTCTAGAGGTGTGTGCTTTAAACATGAAAGTCTTTGGGGACTTGCTCACTTTTAGAGTCAACCTCTACTGGCCATGTTTGTGAAAAATCCCAATTAAATGAGGTGATCTCTGAGTAGACTTTGAAGGATGCCACCTTTTGGCCGTTTAGTGGGCTCATAATGTTTGAATAGATGCCTGAAACTATAGGCTTCAACTAGGGCTCATTAAGGGGCTCATTAAAACCCATTAAGACTACCTTATAAGACAAATGTCATGACAACAAGATCAACTCTGTTGTTGAGATATTATATTTAGTCCTCATAAAATTACATAAAAGAAGCCATAGTTAGTTGTTCTGCTGTATTTAGGAACACTGTGCACAATGAACTCAGGGGTCACTGGGTATCTCTGCATTTTCAGCCTCACACAGTCTCACCCAGGCGACCCAGCTGGAGCTGATCAGTCGTCAATAAAGTGTAAGCAGCAAATTACACCGATAATACTTTCTTTTAATTTGTACTGATCCTGTGATTGTGGCAAGAAGATGTGGAGGCTCTCATGATGTCGTATTTTAGCCCCGATAAAGGCGCTCCATGAACAGAATAGAATCACGTAGTGATTCATGACCATAACAAACTGACCTTTATTCATAAGATGTTACTACCTAATACATGCTAACATCTTCTTGCTCAACACTCACATGCAATTTATCTCATCTTCTTGGAACTCTCTTCTTTGATGGTGATAGCCCTGGGGTCCTGAAGCCCCCTCTGACGTCCACTCTGTGTGACTCAGCTGAGTCCAGTTCCCTCCTCCCTGCCCCTCGGTCCTTGTGTCAGCCTAAGAAACCTTCATGTATTCTTTTTTTTCTACAGCACTTCTCTTACATAACCACAAAATCCTCATTCAGGCTTATATGAAGCCGTTCTTCAGTCTACATTAAGCGGTCCCACTCAGGCTCTGCAGGAAGCCCGCAGACGTCCGAGTTAATCTGATCTCAAAGCCTCTGACATTAAGAGTGGGACTCAGAAACACTGAAAATACTGTAGGTAAAAAAAAAAAAGGAAATCTGAGCCATGAACCTATCTGTCTCCTCAAGTAAAATTAAGTAAAATAAATGTTTTGGCTTGGGTGGATGAAAAGCATGCTCCCAGCTGTTACCCTTAACCTCCTAAAAAAAAAAAATTAAAAAAAAGGCCTGACTTCAAAGACAATGGGGTTTTTACTGTGGGAATGCAGTAAAGAGTCTGCACTCAACACATCAGTTCAAGCATGACAGAAATAAATGCAGCCTGACAGCTTCACTTTGATGGACAACCTCATCCTCTGTGGCAAAAATCCTGCTCACTGGAGGGTTGAATAAAATATACTATACAGCCAAAAGTATTCACTCATCCATCCAAATCATTGAATTCAGATGTTCCATTCACTTCCATAAGCACATGGTGTAATAAAATTAAGCACCTGACTTCAGACTGCTTCTACAAACACTTGTGAAAGAATGGGTCGCTCTCAGGAGCTCAGTGAATTCCAGCATAGTACTGTGATAGGATATCACCTGTGCAACAAGTCCAGTCAGGAAATTTCCCTCGCTACTAAATACTCCACAATCAACTGCTAGCAAAAGCATTTGGGAATGACAGCAACTCAGCCACAAAGTGGTACATCAGGTAAAATCACAGAGCGGGTCAGTGGACGCTGAGGCGCATAGTGCACAGGGGTCAACAGTTTTCTGCAGAGTTAATCACCACAGACCTCCAAACGTCATGTGGCCTTCAGATTAGCTTAGGAACACGCCACAGAGAGCTTCATGGAATGGGTGTCAATGGCTGAGCAGCTGCATGCAAGCCTTACATGACCAAGTGTAATGCAAAACGTTGGTATAAAGCACGCCCCCACTGGACACTAGAGCAGTGGAGACTTCTAGTGACAAACTACTTCTCCATCTGGCAATTCAATGGATAAGTCTGGGTTTGGTGGTTGGCAGGAGAACAGTACTTGTCTGACTGCACTGTGCCACGTGTAAAGTTTGGTGGAGGGGGGATTATAATGTGGGGTTGTTTTCAAGAAGTTGGGTTTTACCCCTTTGCTCCAGTGTAAGGAACTTTTAATGCTTCGGCATACTGAGACACTTTGGAAAATTTCATCTCCCAACTTTGTGGGAGCAGTTTGGGGACACCCCCTTCTTGTTCCAACATGACTGCACACCAGTGCAGGTCCATAAAGACATCGACGGGTGAGTCTGGTGTTGAAAAACTTGACTGGCCTGCACAGAGTCCTGACCTCAACCTGAAGCAAGACCTTTGGGATGAATTAGTACAGAGACTGATTGGGATGTCACCCAAATTCATATTCGTGTGATGGCAGATGAGCAAATACTTTTGGCAATAGAGCGTACATAAGAAAATATAAAAGATGCCAGGATGTTTTTGAAAACTGCTCTTTTTTTTTTTTTACTTAACACACCCAAGACTGCACAGATGTGTCTGTTGTCACCTGAAGGCAATTAAAATCTTCTCTTCTTGATTTCTAGTGAGGAGAAACAAGGTTATTGCTCCTTTCCAACCACCTGCACTTGTGAACTTTGAAACACCAACCGCAGTCCAACAACATGAAGGCATCAGGACTTCAGCAAACATGGCACAAACTACAAGAAGTAGCCTGTTCTTCTCATTTTCTCCACTGTGAGCATCACTATGATCCTTGTAGAAGCGTAATGCAGTCACTCGAGAAAAAAAGTCCCGTGTTTCAATCTCAGAAAAAATCTGCTCTGTTTTTCCAAAATAATGAGATGCCTCCTCCATGAATGTGGGAATGTTCTTCCTGCTTGCGCCGAGTAGGGCTTGTTACTTCTGCTGCCAGTTTTTAATCCATCCGTACTTCCATTGACTCCCAAATCTTCTAACAGCTTTTTACTTTTACTCTCTACACTTTAACCACTTTCTATACTTTACATTTAATAATCGTACTTTAGTTTTAAAACATTTGAGGTGTGTTATTATTTCACTGTGCACCTTCCAGACATCATAGCAATATGAATGTATATGTAGGGAATGATAACACATAAAAGACAGTCCCACTGGTGTATCAGCCAACTGATATGCAAGGTGTGGAGTTGAAAGATGCAAAAACACAAAAAAAACCCCACACATGCAGGGAAGATGAGTGTGAAGCAAAGACAGAGAAAAGTACAGCTCGTGATGTCATCACATGAAATCAAGACACTGCTGTTAGCATTGCACAAAAATAGCTAGTGAAAAAAGAAATACTTTTTATTTTCGAGTACATGTCCAAACTTTTGACTGGTTCTATAAAAAATTAAACTGGACTAATCTAATTCAGGAAAACAGAGCAGTTTTTTTTATTACATGTTTTTGGAATTTCTAAGATAAGTATCCAAATTAATAATTCAGAAAAATATTTTTAATTTCAAGAAAAGTTATATAAGAATTATTGCATGTACATCTTGTTCATTTAAAAAAAATGGCTGCATTTGTTCTTGAAAAAAAGTGCATTAGGCTCTGTTGTTCCTCTTTCTTTTAATGTTAGGTGAAACTCGACTTTCCAAATCAATGGAAACACCTCTACAACTAGCAGATATATTAATGTGTTAATGTGTATTAGTAGCACTGAACTACTGTGCTGACGTGCAGTAAAACACTACAAAGCTGCTTCTTTGCCTGTTATCGTTTACACTGCTGCTAGTAAATCCTTGTGTTTCTTTGCTAATATTTCTGATTTTCTGTAAATGTTTAAATTTCTCAGTGGCTGGTTCCATGAGGAAGTAAACATCAGCTCATCAGCTTCAGAAATAGATCAGTGCTCGTTTGTCTTGTATTTACATAGAGCTATGTTCAAAGATCATTCAGGTTTTTCAGATGTATGTGTGAAAATCCACATTAGTTGTTCAGTTCAGTTCATTTTTTATTTCAAACATACACATTCACCAACATATCACAACACCAGTGTACAACAACAACAGCTGTTGTACATTCACTCACATTTGCATGAGTAACGCCCTGTTTTAACCCCGAAGAACATTACAAAATTACATGATTAAAAAATGAATAAAAAGACAAATTCATTAGATGAACTGAATTTTCAGACAAACTTCCCATTCATAATGACTACTTTGCAACGTACCACAATAGCTTACTAAAATTAGCACTCACGGAGCTGCTGGCATGGCTCTTATACCTGTTTAAACATGCAGAAGATTTTCTGCTACATAAGACTACGTAAGATTTTCTTCTACGTCATTTCACAAAGGTCAACTTTCATGCTATAATGATGTTTGAACACGTGACAATTTAAAGGAAAGAACTGGACCCTTGCCCTCTGCAGTACAGCAACACGGTCGGTGTTGTGGTTTCACTCCATTTGTCACGATGCTGTGGCTCTGGGTTATCACCTCTGTCCTCTGATGAAATGTTTCTTTGCTAATAAGAGTTCAAAGAATGATAAAAAGAGTGAACATTTTGTGAAATGTATGACATTGCCTTTCAAACCCAACTGAACACCTACTGTAGAAGATTTTGTGTTTTAGTTTTATCCCCTGTTGATGGACTGGGGCTCTAACGCTTTGTGAACCTAAGTGCTTAAGAAGATAAATGGATGGTGGATCCCTTCCACCAAAGTTTCTGAGACTACCCACCTTTTCTTTTTCTTCTAACATTTCTTAAAATCTAAATCAATACAAGATGATATAATAATAATAATAATAATAATAATAATGTTGGTAAAACTAGACAAGGTGATATTCTGTTTATAGTGTGTCATACCTCATTACACCCATTTTATCTGCACTGGCGTTTCATAAAACTATATCCTGTTACAAACTGTGTAGTACTCTGTAGTAAAAAGACACCATAGTGTGTCCCATGTATATACTGTCTTCTTATCTTCCACATGCCTTAAAAACTTTAAAAATCAGTGCTTTAAGATGCTTTGTAGGCCTATAATTGTACTATAGCAATACTTTACACTTGTATCAGGGAAATAAATTATTTCAATATCTTTACTTTGATCTGTGTGTTCGTTTTTTGCTTCAAAATTATGTTGCTTTAATATAAAATAGAGGGCAGTATCCATGGCTTCTGTTGATTAACCCATATTTTTATGTGTTGTTTAGTGGTGAGGGTGTGGCGTTTATTTCCCCTTTTCACTGAGTCAAGTTTCAGTCTTCTGATGATGTCTAACTGCTGATTGTCAACAGCTTGTTCATTGTTTTTCTGTTTACATAGAGACTCTATTCAGGGCAGAGGGTCTGACCAGAGCAGGTTAAACCGGTCACACGAGTTTTATATCACCACACATTCACCGCACGAGTAGTAACAATAGGAGTGTGTACCGTTGGCAGCAACAGCCTGAATCACTAACAGATTTTACATCAGTGCTCACTGTGGCTCCATACTCGGAGGAAGACGGTGAAAGGTAAAGTGAAAAGTGATCCTTGGTAGTGGTAGTATCACGGTCAGGGCCTGTTTTGCTGCATCTGAAGCAGGGCAGTTACATTTCTTTAGTGTTTGATCACCAAAAATGAAACCTCATTTAAAATGTGACAAATGTAGACAGATGTATGTGTGTTTGGCTGCTGGCTAACACATGATTTTAGGCATGTAGACATGATCAAGACGACTTGCTAAAGTTCAATGTGAGCATCAGAATGGAGAAGAGATTCATGTTACTTTAAACATCACATGTTAGTTAATGCCAGGCAGGCTCATCTGAGTATTTCATAAAATGCAGATCTAGTGGGATTTCCCACCACAACCATCTCTGGGGTTTATAGAGAGTTATCAGAAAAAGAGAAAATACCCAGTGAGCTGCAGTTGAATGCCAAATCCATCCCTTAGCTGGTTTCTTGGACATGACGAATCATGGTATCATGTCAATATGGACGAAACTCTCTGAGGACCTATCAAATGCTTCCAGCACCTTATTGTGTCATTGTGGTGTTTTAAAATGCTGTTTGAGCAGACTGGCTTCTGGGTCCAATAAAGCATAAACAAATTAAGGTATATGCATTTGAGTATGTTAAACTGTACTAGGGAAATGTGATAGATATAGTACCGTCTCACTGCCTTTAACAGCTGCTGACAGATAAACCATTCATAACCTCTTACTTCCTTCCTTCAGTTTTCTTTCACTCCTTCTCCTAACATTTCCCTCCTTATGGTAAATGGACTGGTTCATATATAGCACTTTGCTATTCTGAGTACCCATTTACACACATTCACACAAACACTTTTTTCTATGCTGTGATTTCTATCTAACATTCACACGTATGCTAACGTGGGGTCAGTAGCTTGCTATAAGGTTATTTGGCATGCTGACTGGAGCAGACTGGGATCAAAACACCAACCTTCTGGTTAGTAGGTGACCTGCTTTACCACCTGAGCACCCCTGTGTAGGCCTGCACAGTATATTTATTTATTATCCACCCCTGTCCAGACAGTCCGAAACATGAGAAATTTTGACTGGCTCTACAAGACACTTTTCTAAAAGCTGCCTTTTATTCAATGCATATGAAGGGAATGCGTTTTTATTATAGTCAGAAGGAGAAGGTTGATCATATTCACCAGGAGAAATTACCAAGAATTACAAGATTTGCAGATTTTGGTGCCTATGATAGAAACTACCACAAAGAAAGTGAAGCAACAGTGAATACATACTGTTTTTAATGTCAAAGCCTGTTACCAGACATAACAGCAGCTGAAATAACAGTGAAATAAAAGAATATAGGAGTATAGAAAGACTTTCACATGTGGCCACAAGAACAAACGTATGCTTCCATTTATCCTTATTATGTTTACTTAGCAAAAGAGCAGGAAATGTGATATATTAGTCCTGTAACATGCTCAGTTTAATTTATTCTTAAATTCTAAAATGGATATGAAAATATAACACTACCACCTGGCATTGTCCCACACAGACACTCTGATGCACTGCATATTAGCAGTCAACTAGATTAAACAAATTAGCTTGCTAAACCATTGTTTCATTTCAGTTACCCAAACGATTTATTCCAATTTCATTATAACAATCCAACTTGTTTGAAATTTTAAAAAAATGCAAACAAAAACAAACTTTTCATTCCAAGCTTGCAACAGCCCCCTCCCATCACTCCCTAGTCACTCCCGCTTTCCCTCGGTACAACACCCCTGCACGTACTCACCCTCATTCCATAACCAGACAATCAAACGGGGACTTTTTCTTTTTTTAAGTAGGGCAACACAGGATGGACCAAGAACAAAGCAATTATAGTATTTAACAAGACAAATATACTGGCATAGTAGGCACAATGTTCAGGCTCATTTGCAGCTCTGTACATTAACACAGACGTATAATACTCTGAGTTTAACATTTGTTTTTTATTGAATAACTGTTTTACAAAGTGGTGAAACCAGTATTCACACTTTACTTCAGTTACATTCATAATCCTAATTACAATAAGTAATAGTCCAAACATTTTAGTGTCACATTACACCTGAACTGGCTAAAAGTGCTCATTACGCAGAATCATTTAAATGATGTCAGCCATTATGAGACCTAAAACTGCCACGTTTAAGGCCAAACCTCTCACCACAACACGGACTGTGCACAACTCTTAGATGAACAATATCACCTTTGCATTCTTGTGTTTTCACTGATTTACTCTTTTATTACCATAACTAGCGTGTGCTATTTCTTTTAAAGTTCTTTTAAAGGTGAAAGAATGAAATTGTAGGTACAAGTGGCTTTCTCTGAAGGGTGGATGGGCTCTCCCTTGGAGATGGGGTGAGTAGTTCAGTCATTCAGGAGGAGCTCAGAGTAGAGCCGCCACTCCTCCACATCACAAAGAGGCTAAGGCTGTCACTGACTGGGAAAGGTGTTCCGGGTGGGCATGTCTAACTGGGTGGAGGACCAAGGGTAAACCGTGGGTGTGCTGGAGAGATTACATCCATCAGATGGCCTGGGAAAGGCATGATACTTCCCTGGATAAGCTGGAGGAGGTGGCAAGAGGGAGGTATGGGCTTCCCTGCTTCGGCTGCTGCCCCGTGACCTGATTTCAGATAAGCGGAAGAAAATGGCTCGTTTTCGTACTTTCCACCACTGGTCTTACACAGGCTCTCATGGTGTAATGCATGTAAAATGAGTGGCACTATTGTCCAATGGGACTGTTGGGTGGACACTGGGGAGGCCAATCATATTTCACAGGGAGGCAGTGCCACCCCATCCTCCCTATGTGGCAACAACCCTGCTGTCAATACATGAACTCAGGATGATCAGGATGATATGGGGTAAAAGTAAAAGAAGTAACATTTGATTAACATTGACAAGCCATATTTATTCGTATAATTAATTAAATAATTTATTGATTACATCAAAAGATAAATTATGAAACTATGAAAATCTATACATGTTTTCAAGCTTTTAATAAGCTTGTTCCAGGCCTTAATAGCCATAAATAAAAAAAAAGGATTCACTCAAAAGAACTCTGAGCAGCTGCCCTTGAAGCTCTACTTACCAGCTCTGAGCAAAGTTGTCTTTTCTGCAGTGCAGATTTAGCACTGAGAATTAAAACGAGACAAACATCTGAGTGCAAGATTAGATTCAAATAACTGAATATTTCGTGTTTACTAAAGTTATCACTGAGGATCAGAATGAGGGAAAAACTACATTTGAAACGGCTTTGAACGTGGCATGGTTCTTGGTGCCAGATGGGCTGGTCAGAGTATTTTAGGAACTGCTGATCTGCTGGGATTTTCCCCACACAACCATCTCTAGGGCTTACTGAGAATGGTCCAAAAAAAGAGACAATGAGCAGCAGCTCTCTGGACAAAACCTCACTGTTTATGTCAGCTAAGAACTGGGTACTGAAGCTACTGTTTGCACAGGCTCACTGAAATTGAACAACAGAACACTGGAAATGTTTTTGGCTCGATTTCTGCTGCAACACTGAAAAGGGTAGGTTCAGAATTTGGAGTGAACAACATGAAAGCATGGATTCATCCCACGTTGTACCAGTGGTTCAGGATGCTGGCGGTGTAATGATGTGGGGGATGTTTTCTTAACATACTTTGGACCCCTTAGTACCAGATGAACGTCGTATAAACATCACATCACCTACACGATTATTTTTGCTGATCATATCTATCCCTTTATGATCACGTCCCCTGGTGGCTAGCAGCGGAATAACACGTCATTTCACAAAGGTCAAATCATCTCAAACTGTTTTGTTGAACCGCTGGTGTCTGTGAGTTCCCTGTACTCAAATGGCTTCCACTGTCACCAGATCTCGATGTAATAGAGCACCTTTGGGATGTGGTGGAGGGGGGAGATTTGCATCAACCAAATGTGCAGCAACTTTGTGATGTTAATGTCAAAACAGACCAGAATCTCCGAGGACTGTTTCCTGCAACTTGTGGAATATGCCATAAAGAATGAAAGCCACGCTCTTGCTATCACTGGGTATGCTATCGCAACCAAGTAGAAGCAATAAAGCGCCTGATAAAGTAGCTGGTGAGTGTAGTTTCGGTATAAAAGTCCCTTTTATGACACCGGAAGAGTGACTCAGAAGAATGGCACCGCCCAAAAAGGTCATGGGTGAAACTGCAGTGGAGCTGCACACACAGCACACCTGCAGTTTCTAAGCTACGCCCACATACCTGAGAGAACCAGGAAGAAGGATTTTTCGAGGCTCGCCAAAACTTTGTTCCGTCAAAATCCTCTCCTTCCTCACCCTTCCTTTGTCCAGTTCAGCTTTTGGGATTACTCTGCTGCCTGCGGTCACATAAGGACAGGACACACGAAGTTTCACCTGGTAAGTAGGTCCGGCATTGTCCGCAGTGAGTATCGATTTGCTTTCACTGTGTTTGTGGCGCGCACTGCCATTTTACCCCATCTTTATCTGGTGCCTGTGTAAATTTAAGGTGGGGCTCCGACAGCTTAAGCAACTAATAACATTTTTTATCTTGGTTCTTGAAGGCAGCAAGGTGTCATATTTTAATTTATTTGATAATTTCTTCTTGTCAAAAC